AGATTAGATAACGAGGTAGTCATCGCTTCAAGCATTGCATCAAGCCAGCACATCTGGTTCAAGGTTATCTTTTCGCACACTATGCAGAATATCGGCAAACTAACAGAGGCCACACAGACAGCCCACATCACGTGAATTTTCGTTAAAAACACGTACGTAAGGTCAAAGATGTGGCCCCGATTACTCGGACCCTGTCAGTAACATGGCAACACACGCATTCCGTCAATCGACATGTTTGAACAGCGTAAGGCCGGTGCATGGTCATCAGTCTGTGCAACAAGCCCGGCAACACCAACACGCGTGGGTTCATACGGATGCGTCATAGCGATGAGAACCGATAATTGCCGTGTTTAAGGTATAATAGTGAAATTCCAATCCGAAATAGGCAAAATAATTTTTGAATGACTTTTGCAGAGAAAGCAGGAAACAAACTCAGAAAAGAGACAAAAGAGTAAGACGGAAGTGGGCACTAAATCAACCGTACCAGTAATGACCGGAGCTTAGCAAAAACAACAATGATACCGAGGGCAAGTTATCTTGGGTGCGAATGAGTCGCGGATAGATTAGTTTGTCATAGTAGGTAGGCACGGAATGATTGACACCATCTGACCAGCTGAGACAGAAACACATCGGTATCGGATTGCACGTTTCGCATTCGGATCGGAGTTAGTACCTGACTCTCATTACGTCATACAGTTCACTCTGTCCTATCATTAGCTCGCATAACGTCAAATGTGAAGACTACAATCGACAAATGATTTGTGTGCTGGGTAACTGAAACCAAGCTTGTTCGTTGGCAAGCCCGTCTTCCTCGGACTGATCTTCGCTCGTCCATACACATGCACACGCACAAGACAGGAGTTGAGTAGGTTATTTATGGAATTTGGAAATTTAGCTTTCCAAATGACACGTATGAGATCTTACCGCCGGCGAAATTCCCATAAACATTCAACGGGGATGTACAGTTTTACCAGCAACCGCAATGGGTACCCTCAAATGATCAAACCATTTAATTTGAAGATATGCGCGACTTAGCGGGAACAATAGATAGAACGCTAAGAAATAGAAGTGACGGAGCAAACAATGTATTCACCACACTACTTACCTTGTTATCACCACCAGACACAGCCAAAATGTTACCCGTCACGGACCAAGACACATGCCAGACCACATCGGGATAAGTGCCCAGTACGATCGGACGCCAATTTGTGGCACCCGGACAGTGCACATAGTCTTTCGGGTCCAGATTAGAGGTAGTGGGTTGGGCACCAGCTGCCCCAATGCCCGGTGTCGTCGTGGCTGTTTGTCCATGGGTTGTACCCAATGAAACAACAGGCATGTTCGGTGCGTTACTCGTCAGAGTTCCACTGGCCTCGGCGTTTGATACTGATTGCCAAACAATGACACGACCGTCCTGACCACAGGAAGCGATCAGTTGACGGGCCACATTCAAACTGGGTGCCCAGGCCACATCCCGAACCCAGTCCGAATGACCTTCGAGTCGTGTCTCTTCAATCCATTCCGGTGTTCCAGATGAGGTATCCTCACTGTGGGAGGAGAAGAGAAAAGAAAACCAGACGATAAAAATTGTCTAGTTAACAACCGTTAGACCTGAACAACATCAGGGATTAATTGTTTGAGAAATCCATTTAGTACGCTTTATACAACCCGTGATTCCGGTAGTTGAGAAGCTTGTATGTTAGGAATCAACTTGTTTGATGGTCTAGCTATGCATGTCGTCAAATCACCGGTGGAAACCAATTCACTTTTTCTATTATAGACAACAGAGGGGATAGGCTTTTAGTTAAGAGGACCTGCAGTTCATGTTAAGCAGCGATCTAGGCTCTGGAACTTGGACGGGTGAACCACATAAGGCCCTAAATAGAATAAGATTGATGTGGCATTGATCAGGGCAATTGCGAAGCTGCCTAACACCAATGTTAGATGGGGATGGAAGAGCTCGAATTTCAGACCTTGCGGCCCAAAACACGTCAGTGGCAGTGGTTTAAACCACTTGACCACCATCATCGCATAACAGTGAGGGTGAATCCGTATGATTGTGGTGGTGTCTCTTTTCCCTAGTGCTAAATAAAATCATCCAAGTCACGGAGGCGGTTACACCACTGTTTTCACGTTTGTAAGTGACATTAGTTAAACAGGTCAGACGAACCGGCAGTGTGGTTCAATGTAGCTAGAATCACAGATCCTGAACACTGAACTAATAAACTACACGACCAAAAACGAGGCGTAGCGTTGAACAGATTCAGGTCAGGGATACTCATTATCCCATTGATTTGACGTTCAAGGCTTCGAACTCGGGACATTGTGAATCAATGTGCGCGTTATTGGTAGCGAACTCAGCCGCAGCCGCCATTACCACCACCATCATTCGGGTAACAGATGAGGTTGCAATGAAGCCGACAAAACTCAACTGGAATGCAAATGTTAAGTCAATTCAAATTCAAAATTCTAATAAATGATATGAGCATTTACGGTCGATCGCATGGATGCCCATCATCACTGTTATGTGCTTAATCGAGATTTGAACTCATGCCGATATGAACAAACTTGAGACCCAAGTTAGTCTGGTGCCCACCAATCGAAAAAGACAATGTGGAGCTTGGCCCCTCCATCATATCACGTTTACACACAACACGTGGAATCAATTACGCACACGAATCAACTATTTACTGCCGGTTGCGAATTGCGCTTCAGTGCTTGATTCTATGCCGTACTACAGGTGCATCTAAACAAAATATCGATGGTTTGGTTGTGTATCCCTTTTGAATGCATGTGGATTTCATGCTTTCACTTTGCTCGCACTCCCTTCTCTCTTATCAGTCATCGGGTCACATATTTTAGGCAAAATCACTGTCAGCAACCAGAAAGACTGCGATGTATCATGATTAACATGGCAAAAAAACAACAACCTTCGTGGACGAAACGTCGAAAACATGGCCTATTTCGGGCAGCTTACTGATAAATAAGTCAGTGATCACAATCACCGGGGTCTCCGGAGTCTTGAACCATTGCTTTAATGTAAACAAACACGCGGATAGTCCTGATGAAATCGATCTGGGCTGCATAATGTGCTTAAGTGATTCCGGTTATGAATCTATAAAGTTTGCACTTCCGGGGTGCGGAGTCGGTTGCTTTCTTCCGGTTTTCGAAAGCTAAAAGCATTATACAAAATAAAGATATGAAAAACAAGTAACCTGTGACCTAGGAAGTGAGTAGATGCACGAACACCACCGTTAACGATACTCAGACACAGTGCATTGTATATAGCCAAAAATAGAAATGCGCCATTCAGGAACCTTGAGCCACATTCAGTTTTCTCAGTAGGACAGATCTGCGCTAGATTCAACTCACACGACTGTGTGAAAGAAGTGTCACGGGAGAGAGAAATCAAACACTACCCCATTGATCCAAGGAAACGATTGCACTTCACACCACTAAGGTAGAGCCCGCACGATAAATCCATCCAGTGGGGTCAAAGAGAAACCCTTACGTGCACTTACAACGTGGCAATAGATCAACACTCTCAGTGAACTGAATTTCATTATTATCATTGTCGTGACCAGAGTAAATATCAGGTGTCAAACAGAGGGTAATTACCACGGTTACGTGCAAATCACAAGATCACCAAACGAAGAACAGATTCACTATCGGCAAGTGAGAACTTAAACAACATTACCACTTGTTATGAATCTACACAAAAGGTCGAAGTGATAGAAAACTACCGACTCAGAATGAGACCAAGGGAACCAAACTATAGAATGCTGTAACATTAATCCATCTATTCACACGGTGGTAATATCAACAGCAGAATCACGGGCGCAACACTGCCTTAGTACGTTCGATATCACGAGCACGGGGCTGACCTAACTACGGACACGTGATAGTGTGCGTGAGTGCATCGTGTGTACACCGGTACCGCTGTGTGGTTGCGAGTGTGCGGACAAGCGAACAAATCAACCTCATTACCGGACTACCGATACTTGCCGCGCGGGAGCGCGTGACCCACTTTGCAATCAAGGTCACTCAGCGTCCCATGATCGGGTCAAGCACGACCCCGAAAGCGCACACACGCAAAAACAGAACGGTAGATAGACAAGCAAACAGCACTCACAGGTCACCTCGTAATACCTCCAAATAGACAAACACGTACTCGCGAAAAGAAACACACACGCATACACAAGTCCTGGAACCAGCACGTGTCCAACAGCTAACGCGCCAGGCCGTGACAGAAATCTCTATAGTTATGCGAAACGCTGACAGGCAAGCGGGCAAGTTGGTAAGATAGTGAAAAAGTGGAACTAGGTCGAAGGATGTAAACATGGAGGCCCTCACTTCTGGCCGATCGGAGCATACGTGTATCCATTCGTGTACACGTACACGTGTACGCACGCACGAGGGAGAGAGAATGCGCGCATGAATGAGGAATGATCTAGCTTTACACCATGAGCAATCAGAACGAACCTTACGAACACAACAACCGATTAGATCCTATGGGGCACGGTTCCACAGAATCCACACAACAGAAAAAAACCCTGACCCAGTGGAGGCATTAGTCAGCAGATCAATTTGTCCATCTTGTCTTTTAGCTATGACGACAATATGCATCGTATCACACTCAGTTGTGCACGGCTGTGGATGACTGTGCATAGTTAGTTAGTTACACGGGGAAACTGATCAACTAAGAAAGAGATATGGGTGGTGCCAGTTTCCGAACGGTAACGTATGTACGTGCATGTACCTGTATGTGTGTGTGCCTAACTCTAAGTAGCATGGACTACCTAATGACCAAAAAAGGTTA